TTGCACCAGTGCAGAGCGCAGAGTGTTTCCCCTCTGGAAAGCTACTCTTATGTTAGCCGTGTTTAGAATTCCCCGAATTACCTCCGATGTGCCTGGTTTATATGGAATAACAGCTGTCCCGATCCATTCCCTGTTGGGTTTCGCTACCGGTACCAACACCCTTCGCAATTGACGCCTAATCAAGCTGGCGGGATATCCACTACTCCGAAGTTTGTCCTTTACCTCAAATTGGACCGCTGTCCGATCAGCTTCTGTGCACAGGGCCCTTACACGCCTAACCATTGATAAGGCATGGCAGGCAAACCCCGACTTCGGATGGGCGGACGAGTAGTTTAAAACTGCCTCAGTGTCGGTTGGCTTCTCGTACACCGTGGTCTTTTTCCGCCGCTTCTGTGCACAGGGCCCTTACACGCCTAACCATTGATAAGGCAATACTGGCAAACCCCGACTTCGGATGGGCGGACGAGTAGTTTAAAACTGCCTCAGTGTCGGTTGGCTTCTCGTACACCGTGGTCTTTAGTTTTCCGCCGACCTTATGTGTCATGCAGTCTAAAAAGCCCAGTTTACCCGAGGGGCTTCTTTAGAAGTAGCCAAGCGACTGCTGTTAGCGGACACCACCCTTTCAGAACCGTTTATTTAGTGTGTAGCAGATTGTGCGAGAGCGAACTCTATTTAGGTTTCTTGGTAGGTTGATTTTGGAAGGCTGAGGTCAAGGCGCGAGTTACTGATCCAGTAGTTCGAGTAATTTTGTCGAAACATGTTCACCCTGGACACATTCAATCTCGAGTGCGTCCAGCGGCTGTACACCAAATATCTTCAGCAGCTGAAAAGCTTCGCATTTAGACAGATTTAGCTAGTAATTGATACATGCTGATTGTGTTCCATGTCACACGAATAATATGATGTTGGACATCGTGCCACGGTGCACTATTCCTGCTTCCGGTTTTCGTTAATGCCGTTTACCGCATTGTCAACCTAGTGTAGTACGACTTCACATTCGGGCTCCAGTGTTTTGTTTGCTGGCTGCGATTGTGATCTGTTTCTGTCGGTTTTTTGCCTGGTACTGTTTATCCAGGTATATTTGGCTTCACTCTTCTACCAAGAGCAAAATATTGGTTTCATGAGTATACTAGAGATATCTTAAACATCACTGCATATCGTTTCAACAGGGTAAATACGAATGACAGGAACTTGTGTTCCTTGTCGTCCATGGGCTTCAGAGCATTTTTTCCACTTGTGGAATGGCATGCATTGTTATGACCCCTTCCATATCTCTTATGCTTACTTCACAGGGTCAGCCAACCTTCAGTGCCTATATCACCTTCTGTCGATCCGAAGATGCTATGCGGTCCATCAAAGAGCTAGATCAAGGTATGCTTCATGGGAGACCACTTCGGGTTTCGCTTGGGACTACGAAGTATTGCAGCCAGTTTCTCCGGGGGACCAAATGCACCAAGCACGTAAGTCTTTGTGGTTTGTGACGTCATTCCTCATGCTTTTCCGTTCGTGCTAATAAAAAACAAGAACTATGTCGGACCAGCTCCTCGTCCTAGTGCAAAACTACCCAAAGATGCAAAGGAGTTGACTTCCTTTAGAGTCGGCCGAAACCGCCACAACCTTCCTTTCAGTGGCACCTGCTTTAGTTGGCCTTGCCAAATTATTTTCACATTCCACACAGTCACAGTTGGAGTAAATTTGTCCCACGTCACTGGCTGCACACTTACTGTATGATGAAAGAATGGGCGTAATATAAAAAATGTAGTGTTATTGTAGTAGAACAGGTCGTACAATCATATCACTAGCTGCTTTAGACTAGTTGGCGTTCACGTAGTCCTTAGAATCCGCCGGCCACTGGGTCATGTGGCCGATCCCGCCCACGCCATCTCTTATGAACACCAATAAGGACGAAGAACATCATGTGGTGAAGTTTCGAGGGGGTGTTTTACAAAATTTTCCACCACGAAGACCTTACCGTGGCTGACGATTTGAGCACCGCCGCCCCCCCCCCCCTGAGCGATACTGAGAGGATTCCGTTCTACACAGTCCTTCATACCAGATTGGTCAACGGTTAAATGTTTGATCAACCCAATCACCTGGTCCTCTGGTTTGGGGGTTGGAACATTTGCGGCGACTTGTTCTATAAAAATGGCAATGCACTCCCATTTCCCCCCGGATACCACTACTTTGCGGATAGATTTTTGAGCCCAAGACTGAGCCCAAGGGTTCTGACCTCTTCTTGTCTGGGGCTAGGTATCCTAGTGTTACTCGAGCCAGCGCGCAAACATAGAATGGTACTATAATGTTTTACAATGGACGCAGACGTTTTCACAGACAAGCGCCGAGTGACAACATCCTATCAACATTCACTCTCTAGATCTACGGTTGTTAATATCATCCGTAGTCACTGTGGAGAGGCATTGCTTTGCCAAATCACTAATTTCGCTATCGGCTGGTCACTTGAACGGGCTTTGGAAAGATACTCGGGCCCCCTTGCGAGGCAACAAATCCAGGTAACCTATTAGTAACGCACTGATGGCACCATTTTGTTATGGTTAATGATAATAAAAATAACGGTCGCTCAGCACCCTTTCCGTGCAGCCGGAAGAAGGCACGAGGGTTAAAATACTGCCCGGTTGCCAAAGCCTAGACAAGAGCAGTCGAGATACCGGGGTTGGATTTGAACATTGGTAAGTTCGCGCCTTAACGACCGAGCTATCTCGAGTCTGCGTGATGAGGGGGGGGGGAACTCCAACTACTCAGTAACCTAACTCACTACACAACACCCGTAGTATCGCAAGCCAACATTTCGGAGACCAAGTCTGACCCCACCCACATGGACCTGTCTGCTCGGCCTCTCAACATGAGAGCTGGAATAATCCAGCGGCTTTCTGGTTTACGATGCCTCGATTGCACCATTTTAACCGGTGGACAAGGTAAAGAAGGCATCCAACGGCGCAGAGACAATGCGGGTGTTCATATAGCTGAAGAATTTCTTGTGGAAAAGGATTGAGATTAGTTTAAGCCAGCCGGTGTTCGAAAGCAAGTTTTTTCCTACTACTCATGTATCGACAGTGGAAATCCATAATTTAGGGGTATCTAACGATGAGATATTGGAATCGTTGTCATGACTTACTACGTCTCTCTCAGCAACTACATCTACGTTGGTTTGCGCATCTCTTACGCAAGAACGGCACTGCAATTATCAAACAAACCTGGGACCATACACTTCGCAAAGAATGGCGTTGTCTCCGAGGTGAAATGAAAAACTTGGATCAGTATCGCCAAGAGCGATTCAGAGCAACCCCATCTGTATGTGTTCCACGGAACTTTTCACTGTAACCTGCATTGGAACACGATTTATGGAGTCCTGGCAGCCGATCGTTGTTCTTGGGTCAGCTTATTCCCAAGACATCTTCTCTAGTGTTGGCAATAATTCGGAAGTAAAATAAACGAAGTTAACACAATCCTAGTCTTTTGTTGAATGTCCTAGTGCTTAGTGTTTCGTAGTAATTACAGCACCGTCAGCAAGCTGTACTGTCCCAAACAATGTGCATCCCCAAAAGTAACCTTTGTTAACAACCACACCGATTATGCTTGTCCGGGAGGTCCTGGGCGGTGTCTGTTAGGGCGGCGTGAGCGTTGCAATCAGTGTCAGGAAGGTATAATTCTGATAATAACCTTGAAGTGCCCAAAACTGGGGATAGCCAGCTCCGCTAAAATCGATCATACGTTCGAACAACCAATCAGCGACAACCGATGCTGTTTCATTACTCTGCTGTCTTTTTGGGTGGGTGTTTTTCCTCATTAGGCTGCTGTAGTCGAGGTTTGCAGACAGTCGCAGCACCCAGCGTGGCCACTGAATTCACTTTTACCCAGTATATCATCCCTTTGGGTTTCCGAATTAGGGGCGTGTTCAAGTCAAACAGAAGAAACAGGATTGCTGCCGTAGCTGTCAGTGTACCGATTGGTGGTTATCCAGTGATCATAACGGATTAATTAGTAGAATGAAATTGGTGGCAGCTGGTTGGTGAAATAAGAGGCAACTCGGGGAGTAGACAGTCATATTCTGGTGTACGGATAACCGCAAACCCCTACTACAACCACTCTCGCCAAGAACCACATTTTGGTATGGTTTTCGTGAATTCCAATTCCGTTTCAGCTCTTCAGCTCAAATTGTGGACCGGGGTGCAGTGGTCCATTCTTCTACAGCTTCATTCACTGGGGTTAAGGAGAATAGGGGAATGAAAGCCATGTGTTTTAGAGGCGATAACCCAATAAGTTCTTTGATGACAAATGGATGCAGTTGTTCAGTATGGGGGAAAATAAGGGCTACGCAGTGAAAGCGATAGCTTCGATGCAAGACCGCCGTTGGCTGCATGGCAGCAGCAGTGGTTAGACAAGGAAGTGGGCATACTCAAGAGAGTGCAGTTTTCCGTGTCCAATTCAGACTGGCGCAAACAGTGGCGCTCAAACTTTGACCTATGGGAGGTCACAAAGTCCGACTCGCCTCCTAAAATGGGGACCACGTGACGTCATCCTGTGTGTATGAAAATACACAAATGTTACTTTCCAGCTTTCACTTCTTCGATTGAGTTACTGCCTTAGTACCATGTACAGCTCAGGAATATTGGACAGATATTGCCCTTTATTACTGGGCGGCAGCCACTAAAAACAAAGGATTACTCCACGTATAGTTGGGAATGCCTCTCAAAAAATGTGGCCTTTTAGAGATTCAGTGGTGCCCGTCACCACGCATCGCTCACTGATCCTTTGTCCAGTTTATCTTGGGTAACCTGACAGTATCCAAGCCCTCATGCTTCCTTTGGGTGACATGGCAACTAGGCACCCAAAGGGTATTACGGCTGAGTTATCTTTTTTAAGATATTTTTTATCTTCAACCTAGAAGCAAAAATTCAGTTTTTGTGTGTGGTTTCATATGTCCTCAGCGAACATCTCTCAACTGAAGTGCTTGTTGTTTGTGTGTTTGTGCCCTTTGGGTGGGGTGGCTCCTTACTCGCTGGCGCATTGTATTGGACTCAGATGGGACTGAATGGTGGTAACCATCCCACTATTAGCAAGATGCTCCAAATCCAACCAGCAAACGTGGCAGCAATGTCCAATTCTTACCTTTAGTGGGCGCCATGTTGTGGGATCGCCCTTTTTTGGTATGAAAATACCTATTTGAATGAAATCCGAATAGTGAAATGTAGACAAAAACCCTTGTTCTTCCTCTCTCTATCGTGTTCACTTTTATGTATCTTATCACCCATTTTCAGGAATGCATGTATCTTCACGAGCTTGGAGATCCTGCGGCCAGTTTTACCAAAGAAGAGATGCAGGCTGGCAAGCATACTGAATATATGAACAAGCTGTTGAAAGAGTATACCGTTTCTGCCCAACAACAGTCAATCTCTTCCGTGCCCAGTCAGCTTGCCGGCCCAGCCATAGATTCTGCAGAAACAAGCACAGTCATCACCACCTACTCCAATTGTTCGGATAACGTCGATTCCACAACAACTACACGAGAATCCACCTATCCTTCCAGTTGTCGTACACGCTCCGGTGGCACAGCAGACCGTCCAGCTGGATCCCCTCCGCCATCGAAAGCGGTTGGACATAATGGACTCCACTGCAAACTAGTGAATGGTCCGGATACTTCTTCAGTTTTGCCGTTGAGTGATGGTCGGCGTCTAAGGCAATGTCGGACTGATCGTCCTTACTCAGAATTTTCCCCTGATGGAAACGTCGTGTGGAATAGGCACACTTCTACTTCAGACTATCCTTCGGACGACGGAAAGCAGCTTCCCCACTCATCCACTCATTCGTACACCAATGGTTTGACTAGTTCTGATAGGGACAAGTTCTCAACGAGGGGTCAACATAAGTCGTCCGGGGATGGTCGTCGTGCTCCCACCTATTATCATCGCAATGAACATAGACAAGCTGTGCCTAACCGCAAGCAACATCCAACCGAGCACTTGCACAATACCAATAAGAATTCGAATTGCGCGACGACGAATTCTCCTATCGGGGATTGGAATCGTTCACAGCCAGCTGTCATTGATTCTACTGGAGGACGATTGGTAAACTTTGGCGACGACGCTGTAGATATTGACTTCGATCCCTTCCGCGAATCTCAACAAGGGCTGGCCGAACTCCTTGCAGCGGAAGTCAATCGGTTAGTAGTGACGGATGAAGCAGGTTCACATGGAACCTTTAATGTGAATGGCCACTTACCTGTTCAAGGACGTAGTGCGTCTGCGTCCACCAATCCGCTCAGGCCCTTTGCACCCAACGAAAGTGGTGTAGCACCGGATTTTGCCGCCTCCACTCAGCTGAAGCAGTCTGTCGCTCCTTGGTTCACTAATTTTGCCCCTCCGGATATGCAAGGACTTCAGACAATGGGCTATAAGCACCCAACAACTCTCTCTTCAACGGTGTTTAACTCATGTGTTTTCCCGCCCCCTGGATTTGAGGGCAGTGCTCCTGGGGGAGTGCACCAGTCGGGGGATCCCTCATCGCCCATGTTTTCTACGTCAACATCTAATCTGCTCGATTTTGGGGTTGGTGAATCACCCCGTTCTCCTGTAGTCTCCTTCAATATGGGTTATGATAACACTAACCTGGCATGTGCAAATGGACCACTTACGGAAGACTCTCCTACTTTCTCTTATTCAGCTACTTTGCCTAATTCAACCAATCGATTGGATACGGCTCACTTTGATCTAGATGTCAACTCCAAAACCCTCAATGGGCCAGATAACAGCAATACAACTCCCCTACCAAATGGTCCTAGTGCAATGTTCCGTCCTTACTCCAATTCTACGGATAGCAATCCCCTGTTTCGATCAGACTTGATGCGGCTCGACCCACAACAATTCTTATCTCATTTGCTTGCCACCACTTTCCATGCAGCATCGGGTATACTCAACAATACGCGGCTGCCACCGGGTACTGAGAAATCCTCGGTGACGACGTCCAAGACCACCCCCTCATTTGACCTCACTGCGTTTGTCAATTACTTATGTCGACTGTCTCCCCTATTCTCCTCCTCAATGAATCCCCAGTTGTCCCCGGACTTGGCAAATGGGAGCGCAACTAACCGGCTGCCGTCGTCCGCTAACTTCCCAGAGGGACTTCTGGATTCTTCCGCTGTACTATCAGCAGCTGCTTCAATTCTGTTCCCAGCAGCTGCGGCTGTACAACTGCAGTCCAAGTCAAATGAGTTCTTATCTAGTGGACCACCACCACTCAGACAAAATGACGCCACCGGATTGTCTGTGAGTTTGTTTTCTCCACTCCAGTATGATCAATTTCGATTTTTCTACATAGTTTTATTTCTATTCTACTGCCATACTTTCATCGGTCTCCCCACTTTCAAGCTGGATAAAACAGTAACGGCTAATGAAGGCCGAGTGGTATCCTGTAAGATATGTCGTCTATTAGTTCGAAACCTTGGTTCGCTAATGTTTCGTCATCATCAATCGGTATGAATCATTAACTGACCCCGCGAAAATGAGATTTAGCACGAAAAGAAATTTCGATCTTGAAAATAAAGATACGGACTAGCTTTTTTTCAGTGGAAGCATATTCCTTAGTTAGGTTTAGATTCATTTTGTCGCTGATTGCTTTTCGTTCATTATCTTGTAAACCAGTTACGGACAGTATTGTCCCTTCTCTACCAAACACTGCAACTCCCCTTTCATGGCTCAGTTGATCGTTATCTAGTGAAAAAGGCAAAACGCGTGTTCCTAACCGATGTTTTCTCGATTGTTCCTAATGTCATTTCATCCCATCTTGCTTTCTAAGGATGGCTTAACCCTACAACTGCTCTATTTCGAATACTCGCCATAAGCGGTTGTTCCTTTGAAGAGACCTTTCCTTAGAACAGATCAGTGTGTCCATTAATTCGTCTTTCACTGGCAAACCTCACCCCTGAAGCAGCCACTTTGGTCGGTTTCTTGAGATGTTGCTTTAGAGGAAGCTGTTTTCGTTTGGAGTGAAGACCGTCGTCACTATTGGTTGAATCCGAACCGGCTTCGTGTAGATACTTTTGATGGAATACGAGCAGGGACTGAGTCTCAGTCCGAGAAACTTTCGTGAAATCGGTTTTGTCAGTGCACTGCCACTTTGGCACTCGCCATACAGCCAAAATGGAGTAGAAAGTTCCCTCCTACCGTAAAGACGAAATGACTAGCGATTCAATTGTCCCCCATTTGCTACCTTGACACCCATTTGTGCCTCTGTCTCTGCCTCTGCCTCTTGAAAACTGTGTGTAAATTCTATGCTGGTAATCCCATCACTCGTCACAACATTGCCACAGTTTTTGATTACGTGTAGCATTCCTGAGAAAAGAGTTCTAGGTGGGCCATCGAGTAGGGCGCGAACCCATGGATCGGAAGGTCCGTTTCTCGAAAGCGCACCGTAACAATAGCTTCCGCACAAGCACCCAAACTAGTGATTTCCTTACTGCTTTTATGCCAAGCCACACATTGTCCACGTCGCGATTTGACATGCCACCGCTTTTTATGGTTCGGCTGAAGAACCTGTTTCACAGCCAGACTCATTTTCTAGCTTGTTACCAACTCGTCCCTCCTTATACCATCACTCTTGCTCGATAACCTTTGTCATTCAAACTATTTCCACTTTATAAAAGCATGTTTCACTTCACAGTATTCCTATTTTTTTTCAACTTCACGTATCTCACCAGTCCTATTGGGTCTTCGAACAACAAACACAATCATTCACAGGTAATTGTAATTCAATGGACTGGCAAACTTAGGACGGACTGCACAGCAACGGTTGAATTGTTGTGAGTGTCGACCTGTAATTGATGGATGACGTCAGAGAGGTTGGGACCGGTTGCATTTGACTGAATGGCCACGTCAACACTCTCACAAGTACAAATCTAATGCACAAGCCGAAACCCTCATAGATCAGTGTAGCCTTGAGGCTTTTCTGTACACCAAAAGCTGACAGTCTCATCCTTGCCTAAGGTATCAGTGAGGCCGAAGACACGATTTTACGGTTTCACGGGCCATGGAAAAGCGCAACGTCAATGGCTCCAACCGAGAGATCGCTCCGCTAGAGGCCGTCATTGGTCGGGTTCCGCAAAATAGTATTTTTGCTAAAAATGCCTCAATTATTATGGTGGATTTGATTTTGGTTATCAATAGGCTGAGTGGGAGGCTTCGTCAAAGGTTGACCTCGAAAACCTAAGAATCACACCGTAGCATTGCTGAACTATGTCTTCGCAACCATGATATCGTTTTTCCCGAATATACGGGAGCTGTATCAAGTAGTAGTGACTACGCATCGTTTGTTGAATGATGATACTTTGCGGCCGATGGTATTCTATGGGAAATTTGTCGTCCTGTTCTTGAAATATAATATTTCTCTGTTGTCAGCCTACTGCATGCATGCTTGTTTTTATCACTTGGGCGCCCTCCAGTTTCTTTATTCTTTTATACTGATGGTCAGTCTTCCGTCCACTACCGTTTACAGAATCACGGGTTTCCTCCCGGACTGTCTAAGCAGGCTCCTTTCCTTCAACCCAACGCATCCTCGGAGAAGGGAGCACTCTCCTTACCGTATGCTAGTGGCTTGAGGGCGTCCTCCGAACTCTCGATTTCAGGTGCGCTTGATTCCCAGAATTTGTGTTTTCACTTCATACAGTTCAATCAAAATCATTTATCCTCATCTCTAAGCGGTGTGCATGCGTGTTGGTGTGAATCGTAAGAGGCTCTATAGTCATAACTATCGAATGATTTTAGGGTCACTTGATGCGCGTAACAGGATAGTCATCCTTCAACTAACTGGAAAAATCGAGATGGAAGGCATTTAATTTGTTCCCGGTGGTTCTTTTTCAACCTCCATAGACTATTACCAGTTGCGTGTCTTTTGTACACGATCCTTGATATGAACGAGTTTTTTTTTCTAAAACAGTCTACTTCCACATTGTAGCCTTTGATGAGCTAAAAATGTGTCTTTAAATATTTTACCACCATGCCTATGACCTATGGAGACAAGAGTCCCGAATTGTTCGTGAGTGTCGAAACCTGCGCAAGTCGTCCACTTGATAGTCCGGTTGTTTTGGCTCTTTCTGTCATCCATCATTATCATCGACAGCATGACATCATGTTCAACACTCGAAACCTGCGCAAGTCGTCCACTTGATAGTCCGGTTGTTTTAGCTCTTTCTGGCATCCATCATTATCATCGACAGCATGACATCAGTGTTCAACACTGATGCTTCACTGCCGTACTTCTGGCATCCAGATGTATTGGAACATGGTAGAGAGTAGATCAATGTAGCTCCGACTGCACGCCACTTTATGTGTGCATTGATTTGACCACTTCTTCCTTGCTTGTTTTTTTCCTGAACCACGAATTCCGCCGCACACGTTACTGTTCTCCTTCTAACTGTATGGACGTTCCAACTGCAGGTTTGTGTTCGCTAGCCACTGAGAAACCTTTTCACCGGTCTGCTTTTCATAAATGTTTTAATGCCTTTTTCGAATAGTGTCACGTTCTTGACTGGTTGTGCCTTTGTCCTTTCTACAGATTCTCTGACTTGGCAGCTTGACGACCCTGCTATTGTCTCCAGTCAGCTCAATCCCTGTACGTCTACTGCCTTTCGCATAGCTGACCATCACACAATATACAAGTTTTTGACTAGTTGAGACAAATGTTAGCTCACGCTCAGAATGATTGACTCCTCAAAAGCTTCCTTCCTCCTTCAAAAGCGTGAGGACCATTCACACCATTCTTAATTACCAAGGACGCTTGGCAATGGTTAGTGTGATGGCTGTTACGTTTTCAATGACCGGCTGTCGTCCCAGTGGTGGGGTTAAGCTTTGATGTGTATTTTCATGCAGGTGGCCAATCGAGAGAAGTAGTTCCTGTACAGTTCGGTTCTGTTAATGGGCCGTAAGGCGCACACCTCGGCTTAGTGGTTCTACCTGTCAGCATTTGGAAAGCCACCCAGTGAAAACGATAGCTCATAGAGCCTCACTGTACATACCACTGGCGATAAAGCGTCCGCTTTCGGTTGCCTGTAAATCAAAATAGTGATGTAACAAAGGTGATAGCTCCAACACCATTACACGGTGAACCATGTTCGTGGATCGAGTCCGTTTAGAATCACACAGCCTCTAAAATTCATCTTAACGGAATCCAGAAAGGAGCAGTTGGCTGGTTACACCCTCGTTAGACCGTTTCCATTCAGAACACTGCGGAGCAAATAAGCATTCCTGGAGTTGACATCCCGATATTAGACCGTTTCCATTCAGAACACTGCGGAGTAAATCAGCATTCCTGGAGTTGACATCCCTAATGCATACCTAGTGTGACCAATAAAACCTTTGAAGGGTAACGCTTTTGCCCCCATGCATTTCTCAAAATTGGACTCCATGTTGGTGATTCGGTGTTCCCATCGGCCCCTGCAGTGATTCAGGGAGCATTGAAGTTCAAGCACTTAGGGTATTCTCTCGTTGTGGCTTGTGTGACGGAATCGAGTGCACAGCGGCGTTGCTTGTTCTGCACTCCGATGCGTCACATTCCGATGATGTCACATTGGCAGCAGCAGTATTGAAGTTCGGTTTGTTCAACGCTTCTCAAACAAGCGCGGTAGATAGTCTTCATGATAGAAATGCTTTGCTCATGTTTTCCGATTAGTCATACTTCTGGACCATATCCCACTTGTTTTGCACAACATCGTGATGAGGCTAACCTTGTTACTGTTGGTTCTGCCTTACTCGTTCCGTGACGCACTGAAAAATGGTGTCAGCCCTGTTGAAAATTTCGGGTTATCAACAGGTATGATATTCGGCTAATTTCACGTAGCAATTCTCGTTGAGACCTTAAACGGATAGCTGACCGACTTGATCCTTCATTTTATTAAGGAACTCTTGTAACAAGAGGCTGGTAGATTGCTCCAGAACGAAGCATTTACGGGTGATATGACGGCTGGGCGAGATGGCCCAGTGGTTAGAGCGCAAATTTACTGACCGGAAAACTGACGCTATCGTCTGCTTATCGTCTAGTGTTTCTTCTAGTTACTGCCTGTTTCGACTGCGCAAGTAATCAGTAAAATGGGCAGGAGTTGTGATTATCTTTTATTATGTGGTTTAATATATAAATATTCAACTCTAGCACCCTTTCGGTGCCTAGCTGCCATGCTACCTGAAGGAAGCACGAGGGCTGTGATACTGCCAGGTTACCCAAGCCTAGACAGGGGAAGTCGAGAGGCAGAGGTCGGGTTTGGAACACGGACCTTCCGGTCAGTAAATTCGTTCTCTAACCACTTGGTTTAGACAGATAAATCTCACCTTATCATCTACGGGACGTAATAATCAAGTACACCGGCCGTTTTTCACCGCTTATCTGTACTCCACTCGACGCTTATCCGTATTGTCCAGTTGCTCAGTTGTTTGTTCATCAGTTGACCTCATCTTGCAGGTCTCAATACCCATCCAGGTGAACACTATGCTTTCCTTACACAACCGACGGTTTTCAAACCGCTTTTCAATATTCAACACCCTAAGTTGTAGATATCGCACCCTCCTCAATTCCAGTTATTCTTACTTATCTATTTTTGTCATTATTTAGCTGCATCAGCCAGTCAGAACCAAACAGATGCCAACTGGAAGCCTGTCTTCGGTTCAGTCTCGCCAGTTGATCTCCTTCAGCGTAAGTTCCAGCGACGTTTTTCATTTGGATTCGAATGCGGGCTCTTATAATGTACTTTTAATGTTTTCAGTCTCCTTTCATTCTTCCTCCTATTTCGAGAATACGGTTATTTCGAATGGTCTGTTATTCGAAGATTAGCACCTACCATTCGGGAATGGTACTGTTTTATTGTCCCATGTGGCAGACGGTCTTCTGGTATGCAGAGTATATGTCCTAACCAGCGTGGGTAATTCATCCCTTACGCGAGAGTTTCTTAAGACCATCTGGCGTACCTTAGTATTACTAATCTGACGTTTCCACCGGACTTGACCAATGCTTCGGAGACAGCGATGGTCAAGCACTGACATCTTTCTTACGTTCTCTGCGCGTTGGTCATTTAGGCGGTTTGAATCGCACCGCCGCAGTGTTAAGTCTGCCTTGACAGACAGGCTCACGTCGCGTCGATGCCATGGGCAAAAGCTGTCTTGGCCTCCCTGTGAAGTAATCTTATCTCCAGCCAGTCCACCGGGACGCGTACAACTGCCCAAGTAAATAGATTTATCTACCATTTCAGTTGACTCTCTTGCAAGCATGAGGTTCGGGTTCGACCCCACCCAGTCTTGCAGCTGTGAATCAAATGCGGCACAATTATTTGGGTTATCTAAAATGGTTTGTATTTGGGATGGATATGAACCAAGGAGAGCAAAATTGTCCGCACATTCAATGCCAGAGCGAACGCTCCGGGAGCATTTCAACTCCGAAGGTTTCAGAGGCATGCAGAGAAATTTCGAGCAAGCACATTTGAAGGGGAAGGGTGCGAGAGGACAGCCTTGTCCTACGGCACTGACTTTTTGGACTCAGGGAAAGTTTGTCGTGTACTCTTACGCGCCCAATGTTCAAGCGCTTGATTATCCGGTATTTGGGGGATCTGCGTGCGCAATGGCGTTCGCTAGCTGCTGGTATGGCCTTTCTGGTAGCAATAAGAGATCTGCTAATCTCGTCGATACCCAGTGTTCATTTAGTCGAGCCGGATGGCCTGAAAAAGCAGTTCTGGAAACTGTGAGCATAGCTTTTTAACTCGCTAGAGATTGAAAGATGGGTTGACCGCACTGCATTGTTGGATGGGTGGGGAGTGTGGGGGAAGGCCTGCAAGGGCAAATGATACTTTCCGGGTGTCCGGCCTAAGAAGGGGGTTTGGTTGAGTTACCCCGCCTTGTTCCTTTGACTCGAAATTCTAACCCACAAGACGGTGGATGTAGAATTTTGTTCGGGGACACTGCCCCTAGCCTCTGATTCAAAAGTTTGAACCGCTAGACAACGGTTCTTGAGGTTTTTTGGAGGGCCCTCCCTGAAGTCAACGACTCAACAGTCTGACTCGCTCGGCTGTAGGGGATTGACCTTACCCGAGGACCGAGAGAGTAAGGCATTACTGCATCACTCCTAATGCGGCCGCGTACAACAGGTGCCTTTTTAGCAGCAACAGACTCTTCGATTTTAAAAGTATTTCGACCGTGTTGAATAATGCACCGGCGGTCACGGTCAACTGCCGGGCGATCGGAGTGTGCGGTTTTTGGTACCGATCTTTTCTAACTCGTCATTCCTCGGGGGAAGGCAGCGTCGCTGTTTCCATGAAAATGGACACGCTGGCCACTTTGGGGGTTGGAATCTGACAGAGGTAAGTGTTCTTGAGAATTGCATAGAGGTAGCTACGACTCCTCTCACTTTCCGATGCGTCTGCGTTGGCCGATTAGGAATTTCATTTTCAGTCATATGTTCTCTCTATTTCCCCCAGGCCAGTGAACCATTCGACTGTCAGGATTGGAACTGGGGTAGAGCGTCTGCTGTACTTTGCGTGTGCAAATCCCAGCATCTCCTTAGGGCATAATGGAACCTTGGGTAGATGTACTGCTTCAAGACCAATCCTGATTGGGGAAGCAGGTATACTGCACACAGTCGCTAATCGACGCTCAGACAATTGGTTGGCTGGTTATGGTGTTAAACGATGGGTTAAGATACGCAACTGTTCCGGGTTCTCACTAGTAATTGCTGATAACCACGAGTAAATATGTGTCAGATGATTGTGGTCATGTAATCGTTCGCAATAACCGTTTCTTCACGTACAGGTGAAGATTATGGCGCCCGTCACACATTCCCCGGTTGCGGTTGGTGATCGGACTCTGATCAGTACGAGAAACAGTAGCTAGTTTGCAGACGAGGAGAAACGGAGGCAGTTGGAAACATTACCTTGATCGGCATATGAGTGTATAGCATATGTAGTTATGTGTGCTGCATGGCTAGTGGCTGTGAATATGCTAAGTATACGCAGCTCATCCGTGGACGCCACTTGGGTTTTCGAATTTTTTTGTCTATACTACTGGACAAATCAGGTAGTGTATATTAAAAATTATTTTGAGGGCCGTGTTTGTCGTCAATATCCAAACAACCATGGTGTGATTTCGCAGCGTATATATGTCGGTCCCGAACATGTGATATTTTATGCTAATGTTTGCCGGTTTACGTGATACTTTTTTTCGTTTGTACACGTGTGAATCTACATATCGAAGGACTGCCACTTGGCTGCATGCGTTAAACACTCCTGTAGTATTTCCCACTTTGCTGGAAACATTGGATCCTACGGCCAACCGATTTCCAACGAGAATTGAAACAGACGTGAACAACAGGGATTAGAAAGGTCATCACCATCGTGAGTAGGTGACTTTTCCATTGCATGCCGTGGGTGAACTTGAAACACAGAGGGTAGTGTACCTATGGAACGAATGGAGTACGATAATTACTCTCACATGTCCTGTAACCTGTGGGGAGGAAGATCTCATTTACGGCATTCGGCGTATATTTTATAACGACGCATACATTAGGTCAGTAGCTGAATTTGGATTAAAAGTGCTCAGAAGCAGCGCATGACGTTGTGGCGTTCTGGCTTTCTCTAGTGATAGATGAACGTACATCATAATCCCGTACCAATGCGTTCAAATGAAGTTTCTTTGCTTTGTACCTTAGTGTGACCTACAAAACTGCTCGGGTTTTGTAGTAAGGCATCTAAGACGGTCAGTGCATCCCCCGTTCGAACGCTGACCTATGATGAGACAGCGTTATGGGCCAACGTAGATTAGTCAACTACCGGTAGGATCGGTGTGGGTGGTATATCACGTTGGATGAACACTAAGTGTGTGTATGTGAGAGAGAGAGAGAGAGAGAGGGAGCAACATGTGTTACACGTTGGTCTAAGCAGTCGCCATATTTTCCACCACTGCTTGCTGCAGGCAATCGAAATCAGATGCCTGACAAGCAATTCACCCAGGAGATTTGATGACAGGTCTATGAAGCTTTATTTCTGATGCAATCGTCGTAAGAAATACGCACCTTTTTGCCTAATTTCCATACAACCATGAGAAGAGAGGTGGTGGCCCAATGTGAAAATCCTTAGATGAAACATTCAAGGGCAGGATAGCCACACACTTAGTTGACTTGACGGTCACCTGTCAGAGCGATCGGATGGGCATTCTTTGCTTAGATCCTGCAACATAAGGCCGGCCCAAACGGCAAACTCTAGAAAAGCATGTTTGTTACTGGGATTGATTACGCCCAATTTCCAGCCAGGTACAAGGATGATCATTAGCGCTGCTGTCAGGACTGCACTACAATCCAAAAATACTGAATTTGGATGTAGCTGATTTCATCTCACGTTGCTGTCGTGGCTTGCAACCCGTAAATCTCGTCAACATGGTTATGTAGGTGGTAGCCGGCGTTTGAGTTTGCACTTGTCTCTGGCCTGGTAAGCTCTGTTTGTTGCTCCAAGTATCCATAATTGTACCTTAATCACCAAATGCATCATTTTGTGGTGAACACGCTGCGACCCATCAACTCTTATTATGTAATGGAGACACTTGTGGTCAAGCGTTCGTAAATGTCTAAGATCTGTGGTTATAGAGGGGGTACAGTTTTGCACCTCTAGGCGTCCTGCATGCATCTCGCTTTATAATGAGATAATCGTTCAGGTGTAATACCCTTTCAGTGCCTAGCTACCGTGCCAGATGAAGTAGATACGAGGGCTGGGATACTACCAGGTTGCCCAAGCCTAGAGAGGGGTAGTGGAGAGGCAGAGGTCGGGTTCGAACCACGGACCTTCCGGTCAGTAAATTCGCGCTCTAACCACTTGGTTCAACTCGCCCCGCATCTCCCTTTCGTCCCAGGGAAATTCATTTCGGACGGCGTGTCAGACTGGAATGTATGGTCCGATTCTTGATACTTTTTCCTCCATCACCGCGACTTACACTCTGGCTTTACCGAAGAACCTCCGAAGGTTCGCATGCTCCTCATTTTGAAGTTTATGATAGGTTCCAGCGGAAACTTCATATTTGCGATTCCTCTAGATGCAACCTTTTTTTACCTCGATTTCTCTTGTGCTCCGCAAGATGGTTCGTATCCTTATTTCTTGGTTAGACCTGTTTTCACAATTTTAAAATTCTATCTTTTCAGAGATTTGGCGATCCGGCTCAAACGCACCACCCTTTGATGGACACGTTGCGTCCTATAGTCATTATGCAGCACAGACAAACAGCCCCAACAACGTCGCTACCAGTTCCAATCAGCGACAAACTATCAGAGATTCTTCTCTACATTCTGCGTCTCAGACAGACTAGGACATCCTAGTCCTGACACTCAGACTTTGCTGGCTGTTGGGCCCTCTCTAATCCTCCCTGTCCACCCCTTTTTCCCATGATGATGACAATAATGATGATGATGATGATAATCCGATTCCTCCACATTTACCAGTCTTTTTCATAGCCCCGTCTGATTGGGATAGCCCATCCAGCACTGGGTTCAGTGCCCCACACACACACCGCTCTCCCTCTCTGTCCTCTACTTTGACACTGATGCTACTTACTTTTCAGAATTGCTTTTCTATGCTCATAGTTATGATCTTTTTCTCTGCATTCTCTATCATGGGCTTCAGGTTGAATGTTCCGGATCAGA